CCCCCCCCCCCCCCCCCCCCCCCCCCTCACGCTCCTTCCAATCACAACATAGAGCTTTGGAATATTAGAAGACAGTTATAGGGTTTATAAATCATGTGGTAAATGAATTTGCAAAAAAACCAGTATTTCATCCTTTTTTGGTATCAAAACTCTAAAAAAAAGACAAAACTTTGATATAAAAGGAAAGCGGAACCACTCAGTTTTCCTCAGCACCCGATAAACTTTTTCATATCCTCTTTGTAGCAGCCCTTATTTACGTCGGGGCAGTTTTGCATATCGAAATTCCTTAGTGCGGGGCAGCTGAGCAGCTGATTCTTATTGTCTATATTCGCTGCGCACTGGCAACAGCACATTTGTCCAGGATTTGAGGACAAGAGAGAAACTTGGGACAGAGCAGGGGGCAACTAACCGGCTGCAAGCTACTGGAGATTCCTAGGTTTATAGCCGTTTTTTTTTTAGAATCTGGCCGAAACAATTTAGGGAGAGGGGGCAGGAAGTTTGTTTGACTTACACCCATCGTACTGTTTCAGATGTTTTGGTCTTCTGCTTGGCGCCGGCCGTAATCTACGGCATAGCGATATGCATCTGTTGGAAATGGTAAGCGAATATGTATTTTTCGAATACTGCAATGACTATTCCGTTTTTGCTTAGTAGAAATTAAATTTTTCATTGGAACTGGAATTCGAATTGGGAGTTGTGATTGTAGAGTTGGAGTACGTAGGAGTTTTAGTTCTTCGATTGTTCCTAATTCATATTCTGTAGTTTGGTGCAGCTGATTTGACCACAGGCCGATCCAGGACGGTTTCTTGGGCGACGGGGGTGAGAAAGAGAGTTTTCTTCAGTTTTAGCTTTAAAATTGGACTTTTGTAGCACTGGTGCCTGTGCCGCTGGAGGGAGGGAGGAGACCCATCACCCGCTTTCTCCTCCCCTCTTTCTCTCCTGCCTCCCCTTTTCCTCCTCTGGATTCGATTTTGAATGATTTAACTAATACCATGTCATTTGGGGGTCAGCCTGCTGTCGGTCCTCGCATTCATTCTCCGTCTCCTGAAGAAATTTGCACTTATGACAGAAACAGTTGCCGAGGCTTTGACCATCCTGGGGTATCTGTGGTTTGTATTTAGCATAATCATCTCATCCGAAGGTGCTAGTCTTTGGCTCTGAGATGCCTTACTGATTTGGGACGTGTGTGATTTTGAAAACGAGCAATGTTGCTTGAAGGAATAATATTTGCTGAGGATGTGTTGCAGCAATCCACGGGACGAGGGAACGATGCCAGAACATACATTGTTGAAGCTGTTTGGCACCCACATTTGCAGAATTTAGAAGTACTTAACACTGAAACACCAAGAGGTTTGTGCACAAAATCTCTCTTTTATTGCATGGAGTTAGCATTTCGGTTCATGCAAATTTGAACATTAATAGGCAGCGAAACGTCCTCGGACTTCTAATTTATCTGTTGCTGGACAAAATCAGTTTTCGAGCCGTAATACACATGCTCATGGATAATGCATACAAGTAACCCGTGTAAAGAAATTGGTAGAATAGAGGGTTTGGACTTAAGTGTCTTGTGTAAGAAGACATTTTACGATGCAGTCTGGGTTGTTTTTTATCCCTTAGCTGTAAACATAGATCGAACTTACATTCAGATTAAGAAATAGTAAAATAGAGAGGAAATGAACTTAAGTGTCATGTGTAAGAAGACATTTTACGATGCAGTCTCTCTGTGTTTCATCCCTTAGCCTGTAAGCGCAGATCGAACTATGCGTACGGGTAGAAGCGGGAATCATCAATACAGCCTCCTACTCGCCAAAATCGGTAAAAATCGGGAATAAAAAGCTACGTTTTTAAGGCCGGAGTAACTAGGTGGCCTCTAGTTTTATGGTGAACACACCGCAGTATGAGGAGTCAAGAGATAGTGTTGAAGGAGTCTGATTCCCTCTCAGTTCATATCTTTGAAAAAGAGGATTGTGCTGTTTCTTGAAAACCTGCATTATATGCGAATTTTGCAAATAGTTTACAGTAATTTATCGATATTGGCTGATGCCAGTAAAGCGCCTCATTAAATGACAACGTTTGGGAATGAGAACCTCATGGTAATGCTCAATAAAAAGTGTCATCTCGAATGGTCAAAATGTTGTAGAAATTTTAGAGATATAAGCAATAAATACCCCTGGCTAGGATTTTGAAAGAGGACGGAGGCCTGAAATCGTCTATGTGTTAACATATGCAGTTTATTTGGCGTTGCTGCCCACCAGCGTGGAGAGGAACACAGTCAAATTTTGATAATTAATGAAAACACTGGAAGTAGTGCCATTCAGAATCCTTGCCAAGTAGTGCTCTCTAGAAAGCCGTTAAACTAGTAATCCCTTCAGGAGATAAAAAAATGAAAATTAGAATCGCCAGCAAGTTGACCACCAGGCACCGCAACACTGGTTAGAACAGTTGGAGAAGTTGCCAGTGCTGCATAATTGGAGAACTGGAAAGGAAACTGACAACTGTTCCAAATTATAGGAAGATATTGCTTTAGTAATCAGGTTTTAGCAATCAGGTTGACTCTAGGAGCCTAAATGGCGAAGGCGCGATACATTACGATATGAGAGCAGGAAATAAGACGTTTCGGTCCATTAAGTCATATACGTCTCAACTCAACACCGGGCAAGATCTCGCCAGTATGACGATCGCACTATTAATGAAAAAGACAAGCGAAAAACAACAGGAAGGAACAAAATCCGATAGGGGGATTAGATGGAGGCGAAGAAGGAAGGGAAAAGGATGGGGGAGGGAAAAGATTTAAAAAAAAAAGAAAAAATTGCTCAAAAAAAAGGCATTTTTATTCTGTTATGATTAACGACGGTCATTGATGCGCTTAATGTGTGGTAGAGCGGTGCAGAAAGCGTGTGCTTGCAGAAACCAGGGTTTTCATGACGGTGGCAGTGGACGTAATATTAACGGGTATTGATGAGCCGGTACGCTTCAATATGGAATGCAAAGCAAGAATTTTTCACGAACACGAGCGATTTTGGTATGTATCAAGAAGACCGGTGGTCGAGAAGTACTTCCTCACGACCAGGGTTTGCTATTTTTTGTACTGTCTTTTCAAATTGTTGTTTTTACTAAATTATTTTTTTTTCATAGCCGTTCTCTGCACTTTTTATTATATCTTTGTTGCGAAAAATATACGAAAGGCCGGCCAAAAAGCTACCACAGAGAAAAAGAGAAGAAAGGCGTATCTTACCTTGAAAGCATGGAAGAAAGCTTGACCTGCTTTTTTATGACCATATAAACAATCAGACTCCCAGTTAAGTAAGCGATGTGCAGTGTATCAGTGCGGCTGTCGCGGATAATCCGCGAAAAGCTGGCCAGGAAGCTGCCACAAAGAAAAAGAGAAGGAAGGTTTATCTCGCCTTGAAAGGCAGACACACAGTAGATGTGCTGTCAGGCTGAGGCTGGAGCACAAGTATCGGTGGTGTAGTGGAAACACATTGCGTCTGGACGCGAAGAGGGGTGGTTCGATTCCCTCCCGATGCAGAGCAATTCTAGGAGGGCTCCGTTCACGGTATGAATTGTATTACTAGAATTAAAATTGTATTTATATTAGAATTAGCTGTACTTCATAGTCGGATCTGCTAGCGAAACCACTGGCAGATTTCTCATTTGTTTTGACCAGTACTAAATCGCCTGATGGCCAACTTGAT